CAGCCTGCTTTAGGGTTTTTTATATTTATTTTATATTTATTTATTTATTAATTTTATTTTATGCAGATGTTTTCTTACTGTTAAAAAATCTTACTAATTTCTGACTAGTATTTAGAAACCAAAATAGTAATATTATCTAATATGTAGATAATATTACTATTACAAAAAGTCTTTTGGCAATTTTTCTTCATATTTTACATACCTTCTAGCACCCCCTAGTGACCCTTGGTGAGCATAATCTGGATATCACAGAATTGTGTGAAATTCAGTAAAATTATGATGATGAATGTTTGAGACACTATTAACATTTTTGAATCTTTGACTTTTGGGATCTTTGGGATCTAATTTTGAGATCTTGGCAAATCTGAGAACAGTTGAGATGTTGCTCTGAGATCTCTTCTGAAATGAATGGAGAATCAAGTGAGATGGTAATAGAAATAATAATAATAATCTCACCCTCATGAGAAACATGTGAGAAGCATGTAGACTGACTGGGAGAAACAATAAAGATATTAAAAAGATCCCATCTGTGATTTATCCCTTCCTATGGGAAAATGTGTTCCCAGTTTCCATTGCTCTCTGTATTGTTTTCCACTGAATGCCTCTTCTTCTGGTTACATACATCATTACTGTCACCTATTCGCTGTGTTTTTCCCTACTGGCCCTGCTCTGTACTTGCACCTTGGCGTGGTTGCAGACCAGAACATTGTGCTATGAGGGACTTGGGGGCCGTTGTAAATGGCTGGCCAAAGGAAGAACGCCCTAAACCTATCAGCCAACAGAGAGACCAAAAGCACAGAGTGGCCTGCAGAACTATGGCATGGGAGGTGGTCCTCTTTCAGTGACAGGAAATCGCCATTGACCTCTGCATTCAGACGAGAAATGGGGGGAGAGAGACGAGTGAGATAGCAAGACAGCCAGAGAGAGATTGTCAATGTCTGACATTTCTAGCCAACAACAAGTGCTCTGTGATGAGGGAATTCAAATCTACAAGGACAAGACCATAGCTATTCACTACATCCCGACTTTGATAAAACAGATTACTGAAGCCTCAACTTGTAAACTGTGATCTGTTTTTGAAAAGATCTATACCAGTGAATTTCTGCTGCTGGATTGCTGAAGTTCCATCAGAGATTTGACATTTTGCCAGATATGAGTATTCATAGATAAGCAGCTATTTCGTTGACTTGCTTCTCTCATGTCACAAGCGTTTGATGCATTTGTTGAGAGAAAGGGAAGATAAAGTGGCTCAGCTTTACAACTGGACACTGAAACAGCCTGATGGATACTGGGTTCTTACAGAATAGCTGTCAAAAGCCTAAAATTGTGTAACAACAGATCATGTGATTATGCTTAATCATTTAAAAGCGTATCATTTTAAGGCCCTGACGCACCAAGTGCTCGGACTTCAGCCAACGTCGGTCAGCCGCTTTAACCGCTGCAAGTTTTCTAGCATCAGCTTGGTATGTCAAGGCTCTTAAATGGATGAAAATGGATGAATGGATTAAATAAAACCCATTCAACAGCTGGATATTTGCCTTTTATGCAGCTCTAAATGTAAACATCTTGCACTGATCTGCCGGCTTATGCAATGTTCTGTGCATAGTTTTGATTCAAAACTGGAGAAAAATATCATACTTTCCAATGTCATTCATTCATTCATTCATTTATGGTTGGTTGGTTGTCTTGTCAAATTTTCATAATGAGGTGCTTATAACACTGGCTTTTTTTTTTGTACATGAAAATAAAAAATATGTACACATGTAAGGTCATGTAAAATTGTTCTTTTATTGGGTACAACTAAATGATTGGATAATCTATCCAAGATTAATCTAGTGATTTCTGACCTTCTGGTTATTTTGTAATATATAGCCTAAAAAAATCATACATATAGCTTGTATGTAAAAACACTTTTATTGCAAATGTGAATTGTGGAAATTTTGGGCTAAGTTCTAAATAACCACTTACCCTCGTGTCATTCCAAATCTGTATGTGGAGCAAAAGATACTTTGAAGAATGCTCCCATCGACTTTCATTATATAGACATTGAAAATCAATAGGTACCAAGTGACCAACATTCTTCAAAATATCTTCTTTCGTTTTCAGCAGATGAAAGAAATGCATACATGTTTGGAAGAACGTGATGGTGAATAAATGAGGGCAGAATTTTCATTCTTGGGTGGACTATCTCTTTAAGCTAACATTTCAGTGAGACGCATAAATCATCAGCTAACTCTGAGAGCTTTGTCCACAGTGTTCTCTGTATTGTTGTTTCTGAGCTAATCGATTCTCTGTGACCTTCACTGTATGTCAAGCCGCCAGGCACTCTGGGGGAATGTCACATCTGAGAGACGGCATCAGTGCTTGGCCCTGGGGAATCCCATCCCTTAACACCCTGCACCTGCCTCGGCCCACGGAAACAAACTAAGATAGAGAGGATGTCAGGGTCTGAGTAGATCTTCCCATCTCCAATCTCTCCAAACTGTTGATTCCGACAGCAGTTTGTCAAAAGGTCTGGCTATGCACTCAGATGCAATTATTGGAAACTGAATGGAATTTTTATTAAAAACATTTATAGTTTTATTTATTAAGGTCCTGAGATCCTCCTCGGGGCCGTTCTGTCACCTGGCGGCCTGAACGCATGCCAAATTAGCCTTAGAGGACCTGGTGAATATCCTGAAAATTAATGAGTGTGAATATGATATCTTCCACAGCTGATACTCAAACAACGTTATTAGTGGCTGCCAAAACAATCATGCAAAATTAATGTTAATTTTTGTTAATTATTTATTTGTATATTACAATTATATGTAAAATGCAATTAATCATGCTTTTCGACGCCATACATAAATTCCATAAGCTTTAATGTTGATGTTTTTTCCTACTCTGCAGTCATTATGTACAAATGGGGGCTTTTCTTACCAAATATTGATACGTAATTAATTTGTGTAATTGATCATGACAACTCATAATTAATTTGACAAATACAAGGGTAGTTTGAATGTTTGTGCAAAGAAACAAAGCAAGTCGATTTTGTTTGTATAGCATTTTTAGAATACATTTTGTTTCTAAACAGCTTTACAGAAAATCATGATGTTAGTAGTATCTTAATATCTTCAGGCTTTATAGTCACATTTAGCAGATATTGCTATTGCTTTATAAATGAGTGCACTGTATGTATGCAGATTAAGTTGGATGTACTGTATATCCAACTTGATATATAGATCTGTGAGATAATATAGCTTAGACTTTGCAACAGTAGTAAAAATCACGTAGCCGAGATTTGCAATTGCTTTACTTGAATGTACTATATGTATGCAGATAAAGTTGGATATATATCCAATTTTAAATATATCACTGGCTAATATTAAACAATCAAGCAGCTGGCATTTGCTATTCGGTAGATATTGTTTTACATAAGTGTCTTTACATGACTTTTCTGTTGGTAGGTAAAGTTGGATATATTTGTAGTTGTAGGCTGGAGTAATTAATTTGTTATGTGGTGATATTGAGAATTACGTTTTGGTTCAAATGTCAATCGTATTGCCTACTACTAAGCAGTTTAGTTTAAAATAATTGAATAATACTTATACATAGAACATTTTTTCCATGTAGAACATGATTTAGTAGAAATGTATTATTACTATGTGGTCAATCTTGTTTGTGCGTTGTACAAGGCGACCTTAGTTCACTCAACTAGACAGTATATTCCTCTAACTCCTCAGGCATATTATTAGTTCTGTTTACAGATTTTCAGCAGGTAAGCTTGCACACGTTTTGAAGACTGTAATAAGTGCAAGGTTACCTTATTATGTTGGCTTTAGCAAAGTGAACTTGGCGTCATTAATCACAATGAAGTCTTTTTCCCAAATAGTAGACTCCTGTATTAATTCTAAGTAGCCAGAGAGAGTGATTACTTCATTGAACCTCATTCATCATCCTTCAGTAATGGATCAGGAGCAAAACAAATGAATGCACACTGTACAACAAGTAATAGCAAGCTATGCTCAGCAGAGTAATAAGACGACATTTGGTTGCTTGTTTCAGAAAGGTATTGATGATGTCTCTTGCATTATCTGGTAGTTATGTGGTGCTCTTTGATGTTGCTTTAAAGTGTTCTTTTTTTTGGTAGCCATCTGAGGAGATGTCTTGGATTATGAAGTACAGTAGAAGGTGAAGCGTTGAAAGCTATTGATTTTAATGGTGATGAAATACTCTACCAAAAGACTTCAGAGCTCTTGTACTTCCTGTCAGTGCTTAAAATGGTGTAATCCATACAGAAAGCTGGTAGATTGTGTGCTAAGATACTGAAAAACATACAGTAAATACAATATAAGGCTGATGATACACTGGGTACCTTTTTGAGCAATTTTGCCAGGCAACTTTTTTTGAGCAATGTTGCTTAGGAACTTTCCCTCTGAGAATGGGTAACAGATTTCTATCTGGATACTTTAAATCAATCGTAGGCCCTGTGTCTCACCTAGTTGCCCGTTGATGCCAACATTAACCAAAGTTGTCCAGCAATATTGCTCAAAAAGTTGCCCCATGTATCATCAGCCTAAATGTAATAGAGGATTGGTATGTTATGATCTAGTTAAATGACCACAGAATTTTAATTTTGGGGTGAATTATCCCTTTACTCGCCCTCATGCCATTCCAAACCTGTATAACTTTAATCATTTTTTTGGTGTAACATTAAAAAAAGATATTTCAGCTATTGTTTCAACTGTTTTTGTCAGAATGAAAGTCAATGGGGTCCAAAACAACATACAACTTTCAATTTTATGGCCAAAAAAATAAAACAATCTACACAGAAGAAGGTCATACAGGTTTGTGATTTTGCAAAATATGTGGCATTATCCCCCGTATTACAACTATTAGTCATCTTCTTGGTCTCTCTGACTCACTCACCTAACCTTTTTCTCACCTGGCTGACATATTTTTCCTCTTAATCTGTTGCATGGCATAATTTTTCTCCTCTTTTCTTCTTTATCCCTCAGCATCACCAACTCTACCGCCTTTGAAATCGGAGCATTTCAAGCCATGTCAGGAGAAAGACCTGGCCTATTGCCTGAATGATGGGGAGTGCTTTGTCATCGAGACCTTGAGCGGCCCACACAAACACTGCAGGTATGACTGCACTTCCTGTTTCTGCGATGGAGGGAAAGGGTCATCCTAGTGTTCGCTCAAGAAATAAATGCAATCACTACGGATGGGAGGCTCAGCGGTTTCAGTCCGATGACAATTTCATGACCCATTTTCTGTTAGAATGATCCTTCTGGAACAATCTGCCAGTAAATCTCGCTCTCTCTCATTTTGTCTTCACCTTTCCCTCTCTCTCTCTCTGTCTTGCTCTTCTCTTCCGCCTCCTTTTTCCTACTCTCGTGTCTCATTGCCCTCCTCTCTGGAACTCTCGCTGTTGCATGAAGCTCTTAGTCATGCCAACGATGACAGCTTTGTCATAGCCTGAGAGCTGTCTAAGGTCCCTTCTCTGCTAATTAAAAGTGGCACTTTGCAGAAGTTCATTAGAGGCTTGTTTCGGCTCTGTGGGCTTTTTTCAAGGTTGAAAATAGGATTCACAAAATGGAGGCAGAGAATTTCTGACACTGAAGTGTTCACCTTTTGTATGAAGCGTGAGCACCATTTCAAATAACATGTCCTGGATGTGAGGGTTCACTGCCGTAGGTTTTGCATGAGCAGTCTTTTCCTCATTTGCCTAATGGAACACAGAGACATTGCATGTTTGAAACTGAAGAGTCAAGAAGGAGCAGAAGCCAAGTGTCCTCATTTTAATCAGTGGTAATTGGTGGTGTTGTTTTAGGTGGCCCATTTATTTGACTGAAGCTTAGCTAGTTCAAATGCTCTGGCTCTGATTAATTCCTTGAACACTCTTCCCTCCCAACTTAAAGCCAAGGACATCCATGCATATGTCTGTTCCTCAAAACAAGGTGGTGATGGTCTCAGAGGATCAATTCACTGGAGAGGGTGGATTCTATAGAAAGATAATGCTATTAAATCTATTTGCATGGCAGGGCTTTTCAGGGCATTTTTAATCATCTACATAAAGCGAAGCAATTTGTGCTTTTAGTCTATCAGAAAGTGACAGGCACTGATTTGATGTGTTTGGAGTCTATATGAACTGATACTTTATGCTGCTTTAGATGTGTTTTGTGACCCCTGCTATTCAGCATGTTATATACTGCTGCTTCCCCCAGACCATCCTTGATCCTTTTTTTTTTCTCCAGTGAATGCATCTAGTTCACCCGAAGAGTGTCTTATTATTGTATTAATAGATTTAATGGTATTTTGTAAGTGTGCCCTGATTTTTTTTCTAGATGTAATGATTGACTAATGGCCCATGCGCCATTATTTAGTCATTATATCTAAATAAAAAGCCTGGCTGCTTGTATCTGACTGCCCTTTTTGAGTCTAGCAGAGTCTGACAGTGTAGTTTTTGTATTAAAATTAAATATGTAGGGCTGCATCAAGAGTCAACTTTTTATAACCCATTACACATTTTACATTAGATGGTTATGTGCTGCATTTTACGTCCACTGGCTCTTATTCAACACAAAGCATTATGCTTGAACTGTGCAACCAGTCACTTTCTCAATAAGCTCATGTTTGCTCTCACCAATTTGCTGAAGTGCTATCACTGTAAGGGTACCATTGTGTTCAAAGATCTAAAAGCTATGCTAAGTACCATGTACAGACAGTGTCCTCCAAACATGTACGAGTCTATGATGCATTGGCTACCATGGCATACAGCCAGGGTCCAAAATTAACACCTGCCAAGCACTGAATTTTAGTAAAAAAAAAAAAAAAAAGCAGCATTTAGTAAATGACGTTGAAAATTAAATTATTAAAATTATTAGCTCAAGTAATAAAGATTTACTGAATAATTTATGTAAGTACTCTCACCAAAAAGGCAAATTTCACTTTTCTGTTTTAAACCCTACAGAACAGTGGTCCTTTTTACTTCCATAGAAAGTTGCCTTTTCAGCATCTCCCTGTTTTGTTCAGCTTTGTTAAGATTTTTTTCCATT